GAAGGCTGGATGGGAAACAAAATCTCTGTGTGGTCCTTTGCCAAGACCCAGATGAAGCACTGTCTCTACTGAGCACCCATAGGAGAGCAGTATGATGCCTGTTTCTGTGCACTCCCTCACTGGACTCCAGGTACAGGGCCTGCGTCTATGAAATCCATTGCATAGGTCCTGCCTTTTTGTGGCCTTGCATGGGTATCAGTGCAGGGACATGCTCTATGTAGTCACTTCCATGGGTGAAGGTACAGGATTTGTCTGTATGTAGTCTTCTTCAGTTTAAGGCTAAGATCAGATTCCTAACTTTAAAATGACTCAAAAGTGGTCTCCTCTATCTAGAGGTATCCAACATGCCACATCATAGAGTACAGTTTAATGGTTAGAAGAGATAGCAATATGTTATGTGGACCCCAAGGTCCCTAACTGGTTAATTGCATATCATCTCAATGATACATCCACTGTTGCTTGTGACTTTGAGTCTATGTCCCCAACAATTTGATCTAGTGCTGGCAAAGGATGCCTCTCCTCTCCCTCCTCTCCTCTCCCCTCCCCTCCCCTCCCCTCAACTCTCCTCTCCTCTTCTCTTCTCTTCTCTTCTCTTCTCTTCTCTTCTCTTCTCTTCTCTTCTCTTCTCTTCTCTTCTCTTCTCTTCTCTCCTCTCCTCTCCTCTCCTCTCCTCTCCTCTCCTCTCCTCTCCTCTCTTCTCCTCTCCTCTCTCCTCTCCTCTCCTCTCCTCTCCTCTCCTCTCTTCTCCTCTCCTCTCTTCTCCTCTCCTCTTCTTTTTCTCCTTTCCTTTCTCCTCTCCTTCCTTCCCTTCCCTTCCCTTAACCCCTTCACCTCCCCTCCCCTCCCTTCTCCTCTCCTATCCTCTCTTCTACTCTCCTTTTCTTCTTTTACTTGTTTCCTATTGAAAATAGAGTACAAATTTCTTGAGGATCTCTCTCTGTCTTAAGCAGAGTTCCAACCTTCTGCAATTGCACGTAGTCCACACTGAGAACAGTGAATTGGGCTGAAGGGGTGGAGCCATAGCTCTCATTTCTACTCCACCCCTACTCTCACCACCACCACTCCACCCCACATTCCCAACCCATCCCTGCCAAACTTTTAATGGATTCTGGATTCTCTTCCTCTGTTATGCTTCTAAACCTCACTTTCTTTATGTGCTATGAAAACCAGTGTTCTTCTGTTTGCATCCAACTTACAAGGCAGCTACTCTCCAACTATCTCAGTTTGTTCCCCAGAAATTTAGTGCTCTGTGCATGGGTATTACCTATCTTCCTCCCTCAATCACTGTATAATCACTATTGTAACTTGAAGTTTTTTTGTCCTACCCAGCCATGCAGTCCCTCAGCTGCTTATAAAATAATCACTAAAAGTTTATATTAATTATAACTGCTTGGCCATTAGCTCAGGCTTATTACTGATTAGCTCTTGCATTTAAAATGAACCCATAATTCTTATCTTGGTACCTGTTCTCAGTTGTGTCTTGTCATCTTGCTTCCTCTGTGTCTGGCTGGTGACTCCTGACAGCCTTCCTCTTCTCAGAATTCTCCTTGTTTGCTTACTCCACCTATACTTCCTGCCTAGCTACTGGCCAATCAACATTTTATTTATCAACCAATCAGAGCAACACATATTCACAGCATACAGAACAATATCCAACAGCACACTATTTTATAGATCTTGTGGCAGTATGAATGGGAATGGTCCCATAGGCTCATATATTTGAATGCTTGGTCCCCAATTGGTGGAACTGTTTGAGAAGAATTAGAAGATGTGGTTTTGATGGAGGAGTGTGCTTTGAATTTTCAAAAGCCTCATGCCATTCCAATTGACTCACTTTCTCTGCCTTGTGGTTATTGTCTCAACATTAAGCTCTCAGCTACTGCTCCAATCCCATGCCTTCCTGCCTGCTTCCATAATCTCCACTATGATGGTCACAGATTCTACTATCCTCTGGAACTGTGAGTCCCAAATTAAATGCTTTCTTTTATAAATTGCCTTGATCATGAAGTCTCTTCACATCAATAGAAAAGTAACTAAGACAGATTTTAGTAAAAATTATCTTCATAAACTTCATCTGATGCTTTGAAAAATATACATTGAATGTATATACAGCTAGATGGACTATTCTTTAATGATAATTAGTTTATGTTATCCAAAACTGTCATCAGAATCCGTATCTTTACTGATTTTTTGTCTCTGATACAAATTATCAATAGAGGAAAACTGAGATCTATGCATGCAATTGCGGATTTGTGTATTTCTCCTGACAGTTCTACCAGATTTTTCTCCATGTGTTGTGAAGCTTTAAGTAAATATCTATTTCGGATCTTATATGATTTTAATGGAGTGCTCCTGCTATGCAATTCTTCAATTTCTCTCTCAATATTCTATGTCCTACATTCTACATTGCTGGCAATTAACGTAGCTTCACTTTCCCTTTTGATTAATTCTGGTTTGTTATTTCTTTTCCGTTCTTATATTCATCCTGTTTGGCTTTATTTAGGATGTTTACATTAGAAAGTACAGAGTTAGTCCTTAAAATCCTGTTTAACCAAACTGTGTTTTAATGATTGTATTTGGCCCTCTGACTTCAAGGCCATATTTACAGAAAATCATACAATGAGTGGCATTTTGCCAGAAATAATTACACAACAGAGAACATTCGTGCTTTGTCCATTGGAAGATGTGAGTAAGTTCTATGCAAATATGCTATCCTGTTTTAGTGGGAGATCTGTACATCTGTAGGCTTTTGTGTCTTAGGAAGCCCTGGAACCATGCCTTTGCATTTCTTGAAGGATGGTTGTATATATAAATAATTAACAACTATACATTGAAATTTTTAAGTACATTGTACATTTTTTAATTTAAGAAAGTTCAAAGGAAATAGGCATTGATGGATAAAAATCAGGCATTCCGTTTAGCTGTACCATAGAATTTACTTCGACGGGTCAGTATAGACTTTTTAAAAGGGAGACATGAGAAAAGGAAATGAAGAAAGATCTACTTCTATGATGGATTTAAGAAAGTGCACTCATTTTTACCAACACTGAAACAAAATATCTGAGAAAAATATATCAAAAGGCAGAACTACTTATTCTGGCTCAGAGTTTCAGATGATTTAGTCTACCACAACTGACTCTGTGGGCCCTGAACATGTTGACACTATTGCTGATGAGGTTTACCTTATCAAGACCAAGAAGTAAAGACAGAGATTGCTTGGGTTCATGGGAGTTTTTCTCCTCCACTTCTACTCAACCAGACCCCAGCCTATGGGCTAGTGCAAACCTAGTCCTTCAGAAATGTTGTCATAGACACCCACAGCTGGACTTTGATAATTCTCTGGGCATATCTCAATCCAATCAAGTTAGAAATCAGTATTAACCACCACAGAAATGGAAACAAAATAAGAAAGACACTAAAACAATAGACCCTAAGAATTAAAATTGTCCCATAGCCCCATCCTTGGAAAGATAATAAACAGGGGCCCTGGTATCAAAGTCAGACCTTTCATCCCAGGATAAGTGTTCTGAGTTCTCACAGGAGACCTTGCTGTGGGATGTTCTGTATGGCAAATGTGTTGCTAATTAGTCAATAAATAAAACACTGATTGGCCATTGGCTAGGCAGGAAGTGTAGGCGGGACAAGGAGGAGAATAAAGCTGGGAAGTGGAAGGCTGAGTCAGAGAGACACTGCCAGTCGCCACGATGAGAAACAGCATGTGAAGATGCCGGTAAGCCACGAGCCATGTGGCAAGGCATAGATTTATAGAAATGGATTAATTTAAGCTGTAAGAACAGTTAGCAAGAAGCCTGCCATGGCCATACAGTTTGTAACCAATACAAGTCTCTGTGTTTACTTGGTCGGGTCTGAGAGGCTGTGGGACTGGCAGGTGAGAGAGATTTGTCCTGACTGTGGGCCAGGCAGGAAAACTCTACCTACAAGACCTCACTGCTGTGTCGCCACTACCTACATTTGCTGGCTTCCTTTTTATCTCTTCTATAAACCTGTTACACTGCTACATCAAAAGTACAGAGAATCTAAGATCTGTCCTTTCTCCCCAGCCTAGCCAAACTGTAGATAAATCAAATAAAAATTTCCAGTTTGCTTTTCCTTGCACCACTTGAAATATGTGGGAATTGAGATGGAACCAAGTATCCAGTAGCAATTCAGCTTAGACAACCAGTAAGAGAGTATGTATCTAACTGTGCCTTTGCCCCTGGTTCATTGTCTCTTGGGCATCAGCTGCTGATAAATGTAAAGTGATAAAACAGCAAAAAAAAAATGTGGGTTTTTTTTTGGGGGGGAAGATTGGCATATTTGTGAAGAATATTCTAGTTATTTAGTTTCATGACATCAAATGATGCTGGGAAACTCTCTGTCTAGACCTTGGTTTGCTTTGTTTTGTGTTTCTGATGCCAGTTTCTCCTAAGAGAAGTGACTGTCATTTTGAAGGCTGTATTGAACCATTTGCTCAATGACTGTATAGCTATTTGGCAGGAAAATTGAGATATTATTTGACAGAATACCTCAGCTTGTTTGCACTTCTGGATAGCCTGGTTTGACGTGATGTGTTTGGGTTTTGGTTTAAACTTTTTCTTCGTGTTGCAATTGTAACATTCATTCAGACTCATCCTAGTTCACTTAGCACTAGCAGATGACATGAGACCAATTAACTTTACTGTCTGAGGCTTCCACACTGTTAGGACACAACTGTTATGGAAAAACAATTCAGAGGGCTATAATTACTAGGAAATGTGTCTGCTTGTAAGACAAACAAAGTGTGGCTAACAACCCAGTAATCTAGGCCACCATCCCCCTTGGAAAATTTTTTTTTGCCCATTCCCAATAGGGCAACACCCAGAACCTCCTCCTATTGATAATTTATGTACTGATGGAGATAACCTTAGACCACTTTTGGATGCAATCTAAATGAAAGCCAATTTACCATCTTGCAAGTCTTTGCAAAAGTCAAGGCATACATGTTCTTAGAAGTATGGAATGTGGAAGTGAGCAGCTTGGCCGGCTGACTAGAGCGGGCTTAGAAGCTTTCGCAGAGTGGTTTCCAAGATGAACGCCAGAGGCCTTGGGTCACAGTTGAAGGACAGTATTCCAGTTACAGAGCTCTCAGCGAGTGGGCCTTTTGAGAGTCATGATCTCCTCCAGAAAGGGTTTTCTTCTGTGAAAAATGAACTTTTGCCCAGTCACCCTCTTGAATTATCAGAAAAAAATTTCCAGCTCAACCAAGACAAGATGAACTTTTCCACCCTGAGGAACATCCAGGGTCTGTTTGCCCCCCTGAAGTTACAGATGGAGTTCAAGGCAGTGCAACAGGTTCAGCGTCTTCCATTCCTTCCAAGCTCAAACCTGTCCTTGGATATTTTGAGGGGCAATGATGAGGCCATTGGTTTTGAGGATATTCTTAATGATCCGTCACAGAGTGAACTGATGGGCGAGCTGCACTTGATGGTGGAGTACAAGCTGGGTTTGCTGTAGACCAGATGTTGTGCAGGAACCACAGAAGCACACTGTGTAGCTGCCTCCCCCAGTCTGATGGACACATTAAAGTACTGACAAGAAAAAAAAAAAAGAAGTATGGAATGTATAGGCTACACAGGTGTAGACCATGGTGGATGGGGAAAGAGTGACTTCAGAGAAAAAGAGTGAGAAAGCCCAGAGTTCCCAGGAAAGCATGCCCAGGCTTTGTCCAGTATCCAAAAGAAAAGAGAAAGAAAGAAAAGCATAGAAAAAAAAAGAAATTACACTTTTCTGTTACAATGCATCATGATGGAAGCCCTGTAAGCAACTGCCCAGAGAGGAGCTTCTGGGAGAACCTCAGTAAGGGGGTAATTATTCCTCCCATCTCCTCAGCAAGACTTCAAGTGAATCAGCCTGTAGACTTGAAAGCAGGTGATTGACAGGCCCAGTTGGATGACTCTTAAAAAGTGAGGACAGTAGAGTATAATATTTTACATATCTTATAATGTTAGGTCTTGGGGCTGGAGAGGTGGCTTAGCAGTTAAGAGCATGGACTGATCTTTCTTAACCCCTGGGTTCAATTCCTAGCACTCACATGTGCCTCATAACCCTCTGTAACTCCAATTCCCAGGGATCTGTTGCCCTCTTCTGGCCTCACAGGCACAAAACATGCATGTTCTGCCCAGACACATATGCAGAAAAAAAAAAAAAAAAGCTAATACAAAACAAAATTGAAAAAAAAAAGAAGAATCTTAGGTCTCTATCCAAGGCCAAAAGTTGAATTGAGATTGTATCTTTTGACTAGGAGAAAGTATGTTTGCCTTAATCTGTCTCAACAATACCCACATATCTTCAGCTTTTCATTAAAGAAATGAAACTCAAAACCACAATACAGATCGACTCACTACAGTTTTAACTGCTATGATCAAAAAACAGAAGATAAGAATTACTGGCAAGGATATAAACAAAAAGGAACTCTTGCACAGCATTGGTGAGAGTAAAACAGCATGGAGTTGGCCAAAGAAATGAACTAGAACTGCCATTTAGTAGTGTTACTGGGCCATATGGTAGTTCCAGTCCCAATTTTTGACAAAACTTCATGCCGTAAGTTCCTGATAACATTTGTCTCTAGATCTATAATAAAATCATTTTTAAAGTGAGTATTTATGCATTGTTATCCTAATAATACATTTAAAAATAACTTTCCATTTTCTAGAAGTAAATCAGTACTTGGAGTGAGGTTTCGGTCTCAATCAGTGATTACAGGGCTGCTGATAAGCAGGTTGTAAGCAAGAGGCCCAGTAGTGGGCAATAGATTAGATCAGGGTCAACACAGCTTTACTACGCAAGTCATAATGAAATTGTAAGATTCTAATGGCCATGTAGTGCCTATTGCAACTATTCAGCTTTTATTATAGTTCACATGTGGCCATGTAAACAGGTAGGAATGGCTGTGTTGAGTTAAAAGTTTATTAACTAAAATTTGAATTTCATATAATTTTTTTCATGTCATAGATATGGTTTTACTTTTTAACCATTTAAAATGTATCAAAGGATTCTTAACTCACAGGCTGTGCAAACCCAGGCAGTGGGCCAGATTTAAACCACGGCTTATAACTAGACAGCCCCGTAGCTAGATCTAAATAGCCAACTGCAATGAAAACCATCGCTATAATTAAATTTCCAAATAGGTGTCTTCATAAGGAGTCCCCACATCTTTTCTTCCACATGACTCGGGTGTTTTTATTCCTGAAGCTCTGTACCTGTGGATTTGAGGAGGATAAGAGGACAGGAAAAGGGAGGAGAAGCAGGAACAGACAAGGCCTGTGGAGAATAAGAAGAAGCAATGAGATGGAGGATGAGGGGCAGGTGGATTGGAGCCCAGATTTTGCACATTTTCAAAACTGTATTTGTGTTGTACTTATTTCTTTGAACAAGCGCCTTCAAGGTATATAGAATCCCCTCTATTCTATTACATATGTTACATCTTGAAGGGGAAAACTAAATGAAAACTATAGCATACAAAAGGTGCTGGCTTTGCTACTTATCTAGAATGATGAAATACAAAATCTTCTGTGTTCCTATCACTGCCTTTTTTCTTAACTCAGCAAGTGACAAATATTAATTTCAAAGGTAAAATTACCTAATCATGACTTTCCATCAAATTACCCAGAGATGCGAATGCAGATTTTTATCATACACTCGAGGAAAATTTAAGGTCTATATTAAGTAATAGTACCAGGTGGGCATTGTTTATCTTGGATACTTGGATACTTTTGACTGAATATATTCAAACTATTGTTGTTTTTATTTTTCAATAAACGAATGATAATGTTTTAGTTTTGATGATATTCTAGTCACCTTTGGCTACATAGTATAATAAATAAGTCACAGTATTGTGTTCTAGTTATGACTCTGTTCCAAACCAACTCTGTACTTTTGGGAAAATTACCTCAACACTTTAAGACCCCACTTTACCCCCTCTAACACGGGCTAGCTTAGATGATTTTCAAAGGTTATTAATTTCTCCATTATCATTAAAATTAAATTGGACACCTTTTCGAGACGACATTTGCTAAACTATAAACTATATATCAAGGCTTTATTTTGGTGGAGTCTAGAAATGGTATTAGTGGTATATACTCCTTGCACATCCAAAAGAAAAGAGATATCTGTAAATAAATTATTGTAATCTGTAAGAAACAACATATTTTCTTCTTCTTCTTCTCCTCCTCCTCCTCCTTCTTTTTTAATTTTGAAGTTTCACTTGTTATCTAGACACCAAAGTAGAGGTTGCCAAGGTGATCAGGGATGGGAGGTTGCTAAGGTGATCAGGAATGCAGGAGGTTCCCAAGGTGATCAGGGATGTGGAACTTATTTTCATAACTGACTGAAAGGTACTTTAAGGCTGAGTAGATTAGGGCTAATCATAGCATCACTTAACAGAATCAGAGGACTCTCAAGAAAATATGAGACGAAGAAAACAATTGAGACAAATGTCCCAAGAAATACATGCTTAGCTTAGCACTATTTTCCTGAATCCTATCAACATTCTCTACCAAAATCTTGAATCGCTACTTCTCTTGGCAAAAGGCTGGACTTATTCCTTATATTTTATCCTATGCTTCATGGCTCAAAATCAAATCTCCTTAGAGGAGGAGTCTGAAAGGACATTGGTTGCCAATATAAAGTGCTTTCAGGAAAGGTAATGATGTTAACAATACTTCTGTGTGACTTTTAAAATAAATAATCCTGCTTCATTATTTACTTGTGAAAGGACCCAGAGATTAGCTAACTGGATTTGTCCTTGCTCATGCTATCATGTTTTATGTGAACATATCCTTATATCTTTTCAAAGGCAGTCTACAGAGGCATTAATAGTAAGTTGTTTTTTCACTAAATTAAATTATTACTGCAATTATTACTATGGTTTAGGGTGTTAATTTTGAAATGTTTTTCTCCCACCCAAATCTTATCACTTAGTTCTAGGAGAATAACTCAAACTGCCTTTGTAAAAAAAATTAATTTTAATACTATTCTATGAAAATTTTCCTAACATACAGTTACATAGCCTTCACCCTTCCTCTTCCTCACTCCAGACACTCCCAAATCTCCTCCCTCCAACCCCTTCCATGCCCCCCACCTCTCATATTATTGGCCCCTTCTCTCCGAATATTATTATATACATATACATACATGCATAAACACATACATACATATATATATATATATATATATAAGAATATCTAATTACCATTTCATTGGCTCTTACTGACAACTCCCATGTGTTTCATCTCTCACCTTTTCTCATTGTTGGTCCCTGAAGGGTACCCATCTATGAGGATGACACATGAATAGCAATCTGCTAAATGTGATCCTGATCATTATCTTTGACATCTCTACTTCCTTATTACTTCATATACAAGTCTTTGTTTCCTAACGTCTGTTGGTTCTCCCTGCTAATTGTGTTTCACACCTACTGTCTTGAAGATCATGATTCTTTTCTAACTCACTATTATGTCTTCCCCAGGACTCTGATAAAAGCTTTCTGGCTGGGTCCCCTGTGTGCTCCCTTTCCATCTCTGATTCATTTCTCACAATTCAGCATGAGTGAGACTTTCAAAAACCACAGAATCCTCAAAATTTCTTCATTGCTTATATGATTCATTCGTTTCTTTTGCTTTTAGGATTAAACTGCAGATCTTGAACATGACCTGCGCAGTCTTGTGTGGTTCCCCCCATCACTCTACTCTGTCCTGTCATTTGGTCTTCTGCCTTGAGTATTTGGCTTCATCCACTCTATCCTCTGGATCTTCTGCAATGCCATTTTCATCTCACTGTAGGAAGGTCATATCCTGCTTTTAAGATCTGTCAGGTATGTCTTACAAATGTGAATGCCATGTGAGATAAGTCAATGTTCCCCATTTACAAAACCAAGTTATATAAACCATGACTATCCTCTCCTAACACCACACATTTCTCTGGAGCAGCATACTACACTATAAAAGATCATGCTTAAATATAGATGTTTACAGCTATGTTTGAAGTCAGAATTTTGATTTTGCTACATACTTTTGGCAAAGTTTTGTTTCCTTGGAGCTAGTTGGTGAGATAGCTCAACTGGTAAAGCATTTGCCATGCAGCCTAAGTACCCAAGTTCAATTCCCAATGTCTACATAAAAAGATAGGCATGGGCATGGCGGCATGCACTTGTAACCTCATTATTAAAGCACAGAACAGGAAGATTCTTAGGTTAGACTGGCTACTCCGTATGGCCTAATTGGTGATTGACAGGTCTTAGTGTGAGACTTTCAAGAACCAAGGTGGATGACTCCTAAGGAACATTAAAGTTGATTTCTGGCCTCCATAGCACATATTCAGGGGTACACACATGAACACTCTCACATACACACAATCTCTCTCTTCTCTCCCCCCCAACACACACACACACACACACACACACACACACACACACACACACACACACACACACACACATTTTGTGCCTGTTATTGAGACAGTACATATGTAGA